CCCCCCCCCCCCCCCCCGTCTAATTGTCTCTCGTTGGTCATTGTTTATGTTTTTATCAAGTGAAAGTGAATAATATATACTTTCATTTATCACTGAAAAAATACTAATAATTACAGAAAATATGTTTACCTGCTGTCCGTCTCAGTGGCTATTTGAATACAGTAATTACCGCCAGTTCCTTCGCCGAAGCAACGCTTTCTCTGCAGAGAAAAACAAAAACATCCACCACCGATTCAAGCCTTGCACTGAATTTTTACACGCACCATTCAACGTGGGCTCAAATGACCTCTATGACCTTTGACCCTGGTGACCTTAACGTGAACTTGCACTTGTGTCTGTTCGCCCTGGATCGCTCTGTGTTTAATGTCTGAAATATTTTAAAATATATAAACACGAGTTTAAGTGCTTACACCTTTTAATATTGGCAAAGCGAACTTCAACAGGTAAAATTGTAGGTTCGCAGAAAATCATGGCTCTTCAAGGCCACCTTTGGATTGCTGTTAGTGTTTTTGTTTTTGTTGTAATTTTCTCATCGGTGACTGCAAAGATCAAATACAGAGATGACATCTATGAGCCTCGAGTTGTGTCTCTTGGCGATGGAGATAAGCTGGAGCATGAGCTAAATCGAATACGACGAGAATCATCCAAAAATAATCGTGGAAAAATGGGAGTGAGCGATTCCCATGTCGAAGTTCATGTGAATACATTTAAAAACAAGAACCACAAACAGGCCGTGGTCCACTGGTCGGGAAGCGACAGCAACGTAAGGATACATTGATACCTTAAATAAATATAGCAGTTATATCAGGACAAGAGAACAAAGTTTACCAAAACATCAATATCATATCAATAATACATCGTTGTAGAATATAATACACTGTATTGAGAGATTAAGGTACTGTACATGTACGTGCACATCCTACGCAATACTGGGTCCCAGCTAGTCTTATCTCTGCTTGTCCTTCTTTGTTTGTACCAGGTTCATACTGAAGAGGCATATTATTTTATTTTACTTAATGTTGTGCACTACTGTACTGTTCGATCTTTAAAAATGACACCACATATGACTCGATGTTATGCTTTAAGGTTCAGAAATTTTACATTTATGTTTTACAATAATTTCTGTTGATCACAGAAAGATTTCATTGTTTTATTGGCATGTACGGAATTTATTATTGCAGGCCATCTTTCTACTAACAAGAGAAGTTATTGATGGAGTAGTTAACAGCTCATCACTATACAGGTAATTGTATATATATACAGGTATATACATGTACAGGTAATTGATCCAAATTGACATAGATTTGATGAATGAATACAAACTAAAATATGAATTGGAATTAGTTTAAAAACCTTACTTCAAATACACATTATGATGGATTTTAATCTGCATTATTTATTTTCAAGTATACTAATACACGTATCTTTTAAAGAAGCATATATTGCATAGAAAATTTGTAGCAATCTAGAAACAAGAAAATATTTTTTCATTCTACTGTTTTTTCATGTACCAGATCATGAAAGCAGTGTATGCTAAATAGCACATTTATTTCCATACTGCCTTCATGTGTTATTTTCCAGATCTCTGAATTATGGAGTGACTTTTGATGAAATCACCCCCCAAAATTCAGTAATTTCCAGCTTTTTTGTTGATCCTAACAACTACACAAAGGTACACAGTCAACTTCTAAAGATTTTGTATTTTGGAAATTAAAGAACACGTACCATAAAGAACAAAAGTGAAATGGATCAATAGCATATTAAGACAAATTAGAAAAAAATGGATAGGGAAGACTTGTGTAACTGACAGAAATAGTGCATTATTTCCCAAGGTATGTAAATTTTGCCTCACTGGCCTGTAGAAGTCAGTTCACTTCAGTTCTGTTAATACATTTGTTATGTTTCCTCTTCGTAGCTGATATTTGCCGACAGAAAAAACAGAGCAGTGTACGTGACGGATGATGAGGGCAAGACGCTCTCTGGTCCACACCACACACAGTTTAATCCCCAGCGTCTTGTGTTTAACCCCATACTGGAGAATGTACTGCTTGGGTACTCCTACACACAGGAACAGGTAGGACGCAATTTTATAGTGAATTTGTTTTGAAAATTGAATTCATATTTCTGCCCCTGGTTCAAAATCCTTCATGTTGAGTGAGAATAGAAAATGAAATATACACATGAACTATTGTTGAATTTATCTTTCAAAAAATCATTTTACTAATTTAGGAAAAAATAAAACATCCTACTGGAGCAAAATTGATGTCGGTTCGGATCACCAATATCTTTAGCTTTGTTTCCGTTACGTAGTACTGTTTATTTACATTCACATACAATATTCATTTATCATGGGTACTGTCGAATATCCGATTCTCACCTTGAATTTGGCAGGGCTGTCCATAAGTAATTATGCAATAATATTTATTTTAATGAGAAAATTATTTCAAAAATGATTGCAGATAGTAGTTACAGTTGTCTATGGATAAGGTGTTCAATTTTTTTATTTCAGTTGTTTGTAAGCAGAGATCTTGGGAAAACATGGAAGAAGCTTCAGGATGGAGCAGACAGCCGGTTCTTTTGGTATGTGGCACACACACAAGAGGGTACCCTGCATAAGGATGAGAGAGAAAGCAGAGTTGATGATTCTAATTATTATTATTATTATTATTATTTTTTTTTTTTTTTTTTTTTTTTTTTTGGGGGGGGGGGGCTTACAATTTTCATACTCAGTTTTGTTTTGGTCTTTATTTATTGATAGCAGAAAATCATTGTTATTTTCCATTATTTCTAATCAATTCCAATGCTATTTGAATCTGCATCTGCAGTGATGAAATATTTCCATTCTTAAGTGTATTTTTTTTTAGAATTTTTGTGTATTCCAGGTTTATTCCTGGTGTTGATACAAACAACATGACAGTGCACATGGAGATTGCTGACCCAGTGACAGGTAATTGTCTTTTTGTACACTAATTATGGTTTAGATGTTGTTCAATTTTTTTTTCTAATTTTGAATATTGCTGCGTATTTTGTGTATAGATTAAGTAGTATGTATGTAAAAAAAAAATGATTTAAGCATTAATAGTACATTGCATCAAATGAATAAAGAAATAAATTTTGAATGAAATTGGGAAGGCATCTATGTAGACTATTTTCTTTTTAAAATATGTCATACTAGAGAATTACTGTCTATATTTTCTGTCTGTAGGACAAATGCATTACAAAGCCTGCATCATAGAGTGGACAGAGTCGGACAATGTCCACTGTAGTCCACTGACTGACCTGAGCAGTGCACTGGGGACCATAGCAGTGGAGTCCCTGGTAGTACAGAATGAATATATCTTTGTACAGGTAAGGTCATATGGGTTATATAAGCTAGGGCCTATTCAGTACCAAGTTGATCAACGGACTAACTGATCCATAGAACAAATATGGTGCTCACTGATAATAGATTCCCTGCCTCCCACATACACCATGCCTGCAGTGGCAGAGCAATTAAATCTCAGTGGGTCATGTCATATTTGATCCGTGTCTTAGTTTGCAGCACAACTGGGCTCTGAACAGGCCCAGTGTTTTGACAGAAGCTCTGTTCAGGATTTAACCTTCTTTTAATATTTTGTAAGCCAAATCCATTTCTGTAGCAGGTTATATTCAGTCTGGACCAAATCCTGTTCATTTAGATTGTGGTGATGTTCAATTTTAGACATCCATTTCTGTAGGAGGTTATATTTGGTCTGGATTAAAATCCTCTTCATTTAGATTGTGGTGATGTTCAATTTTAGAAAAACACACAGCGTTCAGCAGAGATGTATGTTTCCTACAGAAGACAGCCATTCAAGAAAGCCTACTTTCCACAAGGACTGGAATCTGTGGTGAGCAAAATAAACAACTTTTTTCAGTCAGTCTATGACTGAAGTAATTCTTATCCAAGCACAGATAGTTAAAGTTGTAGGATTATGATTTGTTTTTGTTCAGAATGTTACAAACCTTTTCCCTCTGAGAATTTGAGTGATATTCCAAAATTAATGACCAGATGTTTACAGAAAGAAAGGATTTAACATCAGTGTTATATGTATAAATATCTTATCTATATTACAGGAATTTGAGCTATATGACACAGATGAACATCAGGTATTTGTAGCAGTAAGACACTGGACAGATGTTCTCAATCTCTATCTCTCAGACATCACAGGCCAGTACTTTGTGCTCTCCCTGGAAAATGTTGTCACCATGGACTTTGGTACTTTTTCCTTCAGTGACTTGATTGAGGTGAGTGGTTTTTATTTGAAAATGATTACCTTATCATGGAAACATTTAGATTCATAACATTGCAACATTGTTCACTGGGATATTTATGTGATATCCAAAATTATAACTTATAAATCAGAATTGGAAATTCATTAGATGGCAATTTCACTCACAATTTACTCCTAAGATTTAGAGATAAGTTGACGGCTGTTTTTATGTGATTATTTAGACTTTATATGGATAGTATTAAGTTTGTTAACTTTTGTTTTCAGATTAAGAGCACCCCAGGGGTGTTTTTGTCCAATGTCAGGACAACATATGGTATAGTTACCATGGTAACATATGATAAAGGAGGGAATTGGTCTCGTCTGGCAGCAGCAGACCCTAAGTGTCGTCTGGTAAAGTTCTGCTTTTACTATGTCAGCTGTATCTATTATCACTGTTATTGTTCTTCAAATTATATAAAATGTTTATATACTAGGAGTACATTTTCTATTTAATAACAATAATTACATAATATTAAAAATTTAATGTCTAGAAATTTCGTGGAAGATAGAGGGAAAAGTTTACTTATATGTACAGTTAGTACAACACTTTCAAAACTTGTAATTTGCTATTTCACAAATGTGCCTCTGTATTGTCTGAGATAAAATTTTTGTTGTCACCCTTTTGTCTTTAAAAAGCAAAAAACTTGTTTCATTTTAGTATTTTGCTTTTTTTTAATAGTCCCCTGTCTGTTTTACTTTGCAGCCTGACTGTTCCTTGAACCTGCACATGATGTACAGTTCTTTCAAATATTCTATTCCTCAAGGCATCTTTAGCAAGAAAAATGCACCTGGAATTATTATTGGCTTGGGTAGGTACCAATATTTATGGAAAACTTGTGTATGTTATTTTGGATAAGTGCACAAGTATGTTATGGGGAAGATTCAGAGATAAAAAGAAACAATTTAGAGTCCCTGGAAACTTGACTGTCATATGGTTATGACATGTATTTACACTGATGCTTGTGATTAGAAATTGTGAAAGCTTGTTACAAGAACTTTTGGCCACTCCCCTTGCCCACGATCACCCTGAAAGGTTTCTCCATTCAAGAAGTCAACGCATGTGTTTATGACCTAAATATTTGAATCTTTTTGTTGACTATATTGTAAAATAGTAAGTTTTGGTGCTTTGTTTGCAGGTAATGAAGATGGTTATCTGAACATGCAGTCCAAATCCAACTCTTACATCAGTAGAGACGGGGGGCACACATGGACTAAGGTTAGTGGATATTCAATTTTCTAACAACTGCAAGTAAATTGGAGCATTTAAAACATGGTTTGTGTAGCATTTGTCACAATTGATTAATGCATGGAAGGGTCATGGATACTTAAAGGAACCACATGTGTACTAGTACACATATTCAACACATATTTTCAAATGTCACATGTCAAGTTGTACACTGTGTTACTGCATCCTCTTATATAGAATAAAAGAACACTTTAGGTATCTGTTCTCTTTTGCAAAGAGTCAGTATACACTGTTGTGTTGTTTTAGTTACTCAATGGGAACTATCAGTTCAACATATTGGACCAGGGAGGGGCACTGATGGCAGTACAACCTGGAGTTTACACCAGACATATACAGTAAGTAGAACAGAATAATCAACAGTCATTAATCCAATGATCAGAATCTTCTTTAAAGTAGAATACAAGTTTGTGTAGCATACCCAACAGCTTTTTGTTATAATTGATTTGCATTGTACGTATGACCTGGAATATCTCTTCACAACGCATTACCATAACCTGTGATCACATAAAATATTTCCTCATGTTGCATTTGGCTTTGATAATGCTTTAAGGGGTCTAGGATATTAAAAANGCTGCATTAGTTTTGGACTTTTTCGTTAATATCCAAGCTCACTTAAGCTCTAGGTAAATTTTGTCTACATCCATGTTAAACTATGGTGCAACCCCACAAATGAAAATATTTGCACTATTTGTTTTGATATTTATTTTTAAGAGATAACATTACGTAATTTTAACTAATTAACATTATTTAATGCTATATAATATCTAACACCATTCTTTAATAGAGGGACCTTTCAATAAAAGCAGCCGCTACTGGCCAAATTTCGAACACTATTTATCTGTGTTTGTCATTTACTCATCCTTTGGCTTGGGTTAATATTTAAGTTTAGTTTAGTTTAGTTTATCTCACTGTAACATATGAAAATGAAAATGAAAATATGAATGCAATTTTTGTGAATATGCTATTAATGAGGAGACATAAAGTTTCATTTGGTTATATTGTGGTCAATGTCTATTTGAATTATCTAGGTACAGCACAGATGTAGGGGGCACATGGAAGCCAGTTACATTAAATGTATCTCTGATGATAGATGGTCTCCTCAATGAACCTGGCATTACCACATTAGTCAGCAGGTAGGTTGCTATGGTGATAGTGACCTGGTGTGTTGTCATGGTAGCAGAGTGTTCAGCTTGTTGTCATAGCTACAGTTGGGATGTTGTAGGAAAAAAAAATGTCTTAAGCCCTTGTAGGAATAAAAATGTCTTAAGCCCAAATGTGTGTTGTTTTAATGCTGTGTTTACCACATTCATGACTTTGTTGGTTTGTATCAGCATATTGGTATATTCTCTTCTTTAGGTTTAATAGAATCCTAGTAGATGTTGACAGTACAGTCTTAAGCAGACATCTTGATATGATTATTAATGAAAGCGCCATTAAAATAACTAAAGATCATCACCCCTTCAATATTTTCAGTGCCTATGGTCACCATCAGACAGGGGACTATGGCTGGGTTGTGATTCAGTTTAATTTAACTGGTGCCTTCTCTGGAAAGTGTACAGACAAGAATTATGAACACTGGAGTCCAGGGGGAGAAGTGAGTTGTTAATACTAGTAAAATATCTAGTGTTTTTTTTTCTTAAAAGAATAAAAATGGCTTAAACATCAGAGGTCAGTGTTGATGCATATACATGTATATAGCATGGTTAAATAGTATATTGTTGTGGAAGAGACTGCCAGTTGACATTTGAATACTGTTTGATACGACATTCACATTTCCCAGCATGCATGCACACTTGGAGAGCGTGCAGTGTATCAGCGGCGGAAGCAGAATGCAGACTGTTATAATGGCCAGGACTATGAACGCCCCATCAACAGTTCTGTGTGCACGTGTACAGTAGAAGACTTTGAATGGTAAGAACTTATAATATAAGAATATTGAAACAAAATGCAACAGGTGTTGAATAAAAGCCACAAACATGAAATATGCAGTACTGGTACCTATCAAGTTTTCTTGGTGAATACACATTCTCGTCTCTGTACCATGCCACTGTCTGTTATTACGGTTTTCATCAATCAATCACTTATTATTTATTCACTTGTCATGTGTTAGTGGGTCGTCATATNACAATGGAATATAGAGAAATTTGATACGATGTCAAGTGATTATATTCCACACATGATGGTGGATTTTTTGATGTAAAAGTAATTAACTGGATAGGTGACCCATCTTTGCTAAGAAATTCAATTTTGATATTTATTTATTTTCCCAAAAAATGTTTTTGCCAAAGATGTTTTTCGGAAATTGAAACACATGATATTAAAACTGAAATAGTAAACTGGGTATAGTGTAAACATCAATCTCATTCTTTCCCAGATATCGTAAAGTTGCCGCAGACAAGTGTAAAGGAGGTGTAGAAGATGATAAGAAGTACAAGCCGACCATGACTGACTGCCCTGTGCTGCCCCCTGGGGACATGAGACTGGAGTCCTCGGCAACCACTGGAGCCACCACCACTGGAACCAATGTTACCTTCTACTTCAGACAGGGAAAGGTAAGTACACTGTTAAATATATATTTATTTATATACTAAACAATTTGAAAAATAAAGTGTTCGTAGCACAGTGACAAAATAAAAATTTATAAAACAAAATGTTATATGAAAAAGAATGGTAAAAAATATAGACAATAAAAGTTTCACGTGAAAAAAAAATATAGACAATAAAAGTTTCACGTGAAAAAAATATGAAAAACAAGTTGCTCTAAATGGTCATGTTCCTCTTAATGCCCAGACTTGAAATATGTATCCTTTATAATTTGATCGCATTTTGCAGGTGTTACTAAGTATGTCTTGTATGATATTTCACATATTTTACTTGTCATTAGGGCAGCAAAACTACCACCCATTATAACTGCACATTTGGGGATGGTCATCAGCAGAGCATGCTATGGAATGACACTACTCCTGGTGTCATGAAGTTCACACATCAGTTTCTGAAGGCGGGAACATATCACGTGACAGTCCAGGCAACCAATCAGAAGGGACAGGCTTCTGTAGCACTGCCATTGACTGTAGAAGGTATGAGAATGATGGGATGTGTTCTGTTGTTCAGCATTTCTTTTAAAAAAGGAAACTTGTCAGCCCATACCGTCTTTATGATAAGATCACTTGGTGGTAGTTTGCACATGTACCGGTATTTTTATCCCTGCCTTTTCAACTATATGAGGGCGCCACTCACACCAAGACGAGACAACACAAAGTAAACGAGACAAACAACACAAACAAACAAAACAAAACAAAACACAAATTTGCTGACGACACTGTCGGCAACACTTTGGTTACCAGCATCATTTTCCCCATTTTTGTAGACTTGCTTCATTACTTGATTTTTTCCCATTAGATCGCATAGTGGACTTGGAAGTGGAACTTCCTCGAGGAGCACTGCAGAATGAACCCTCTGTTTTCACTGCCATCCCCGTCTTTGGTCTGGATAATGGGAATACACAGGATTTGAAGCAAACACATTTCATTTGGCAGTTTTCACATCAGGTTGGTCCATCCTGCACAGTATTAGAAGACAATAAGATATAAGAATATTGAACACAGACTGAGTTCAATAAATCTATGACAGACTGTACTGTTTTATTTTAGTGTGTGGAGAAGCAGTTTTATCAGTGTAGCTAATTATAAGCAAAACATTATAAGTAGTGTTTAGTTACCAAGTTTTAGATAATGAATTGAAGATGCATTTGTTTCTTCTAGGAAACCCCAACCCTCTCATGGAATGGTACTGTCTCTTTCAAATACAGTGAGCCAGGCAACTACACTGTACACGTGACTGCAGTGAATGCTGTCAGCTCATATCACAAGGCTCTGACTGTGAGAGTGTATGGTGAGATTTTTTTCTTCTATATTGAAATTTCAAAATTTGGCAGTCATATTTTCATTAATAATTTGATAGAGATCTTATATGTTGTTAAATGTTTGATGTTCAGAACAATGAATATTGCAACAGGTCTGCATAGCGTTAAAATTATGATAGGTGTAAGATTGTAACAAGTAGTGTAGCAGACTGACAGTGGTGGCATTTGTTGAATGTGTTAGTTGTGACAGTGTTGAGTGTGCAAGATGTTACAGTCTTAAAATGTGCTATGGTGATGAGCGTGTCATGATATCCTTACACATTGTGTTGGTAGCGACAATTTTATGAACTTATTTCAGGTGAACTGGTAGTAGTTCAGCTTTGGTTTGAGAATCTACCACTGGAAGTTCCACCATCTCTTCTCATCAACAGGATTATCTTCAGAAGAAGCTTTGAAAAGGCTGTAGTTAAAGAAATAAGTGAAAAGAAGGTAAGTTTTTCATTGCTATGGTATTAGCATCTCATTTTCAATTTTAAGATAATATTTAGTAAAATAAACCATTTGAACTTTCATAAAGCAGAATTAATTAAAAACTGTTCACATTCTTGCATACTAAATGATTTATTTGCACTTGTTTATAATGTTATTCTAACTTAAAGCATAAATTGAGGTGTCCCCTCTCCAAATCAACTAAAAACTTATAATGTAATGCCAGATATTGGGAACAGAAGTGGGTGAGATTCAAGCTGCTATGCTACTAAAGGAGCCACTGAGAGTAGATGTTGTGATACTTCCACCAACTGTGAACAAAAACAAGATAACAGCCACACAGGTAGAAATGATTTAATCTTTGAAATATTTTGAAATGTTTTTAAAATCATTATAGCAATTTATATGCTTGCAGTATTTTTATAAAAATTTTAGTTTGAATTATTCATTTATAGCAGCAGGTGTACTCTCACTTCCTGATTTCAGGTTGCTCAAAAGTTAATAGATGCTGTTGCTGCACATAATCTGTCCATTCCTCTGGGGAGCATTGATACTGTTACACCTACAAAAGCTGTCATTGTCAAAGGTTGGTGTTGTATTTTCTTAAAAACAAAGAATGGTTGATACTGGTTCATATACATTTTGTAGATAAAACTCAAAAAAGGTGCATGATTTATAGGTCATGAAAAATATTGTCAATAAAGCTGGATAAAACCAAATTGTTATTGACACCATTATTTACTGTTACAGATTTGGGTTTACATACTTTATTTCAGTGATCTCAGCACAAACAGAAAGTAATGAACAATACACTTCCTTATAATTTTCAGACAGTACACCAGGGGGAAGCTCACACAAGAGGAACCTGGTTCCAGTCTTTGTTGCTGTCCCTGTTGCAGTGATAACAGTTCTTGTCATGGGATTGATTGTCATATACTACAGGAAGTTAGTTAAAATAGATATGTCAAAAATATAAATAGGCATTTTTTAAGTATATCTGATTATTTAATGATTGATAAGAAATGATGTAATTCAGTAATTTATAATAAAGAAGGCTGATAATAAACCATCAGTGTGTTAGTAAAATACATACTTACATCGAACACTCAATGATGTTTCAGGAAATTTGTTCTGAATCAGAATGCATATCGTCTGCTGCGAGCTAACGAGCAGGCAGACCGTCTGCTGGATTCCCCTGATGAAGATGATGATGACCCCATGTTGGACTCTGGGCCAGCCATCAATACTGCACAGCGCACTGAGGAGGACGATGCTGTGCCAGCATTTGGAGATGGTTAGGAAAAAAATCAGCTCCTTCTTAGCTCAAATTATCTGGTTTTTGAATGCTAGGGATTTGTTTATAAACAATAGCCTCATCACCAGTCAATTTTTTTGTTTAATTAAATGAATGCGTCTCAACATATTGAGTCCTATGTGAGTAGGCTTTGTGTAAAACCCACTATGACAATTGATTTTGAAACTTCACTACGAACACANTTATCGGTAAAAGTGCACGGCGACGACAGACGCAGATGATGGCCATATGTACAGACACATCTGTGTCTGTACATAAAAAGGTGCATGATTTATAGGTCATGAAAAATATTGTCAATAAAGCTGGATAAAACCAAATTGTTATTGACACCATTATTTACTGTTACAGATTTGGGTTTACATACTTTATTTCAGTGATCTCAGCACAAACAGAAAGTAATGAACAATACACTTCCTTATAATTTTCAGACAGTACACCAGGGGGAAGCTCACACAAGAGGAACCTGGTTCCAGTCTTTGTTGCTGTCCCTGTTGCAGTGATAACAGTTCTTGTCATGGGATTGATTGTCATATACTACAGGAAGTTAGTTAAAATAGATATGTCAAAAATATAAATAGGCATTTTTTAAGTATATCTGATTATTTAATGATTGATAAGAAATGATAAGAAATATGTCATAACAAATTAAAGTAGATTGATAATAAACCATCAGTATGTTATTAAAATATATACTTACATTGAAGACTCAATGGTGTTTCAGGAAATTTGTTCTAAATCAGAATGCATATCGTCTGCTGCGAGCTAACGAGCAGGCAGACCGTCTGCTGGATTCCCCTGATGAAGATGATGATGACCCCATGTTGGACTCTGGGCCAGCCATCAATACTGCACAGCGCACTGAGGAGGACGACGCTGTGCCAGCGTTTGGAGATGGTTAGGAAAAAATCAGCTCCCTCTTAGCTCAAATTATCTGGTTCTTGAATGTTAGGGATTTGTTTATGAACAATAGCCTCATCACCAGTCAATTTTTTTGTTTAATTAAATGAATGCATCTCAACATATCGAGTCCTATGTGAGTAGGTTTTATGTAAAACCCACTATGACCATTGACTTTGAAACTTCACTACAAACACANCTTAGCTCAAATTATCTGGTTTTTGAATGCTAGGGATTTGTTTATAAACAATAGCCTCATCACCAGTCAATTTTTTTGTTTAATTAAATGAATGCGTCTCAACATATTGAGTCCTATGTGAGTAGGCTTTGTGTAAAACCCACTATGACAATTGATTTTGAAACTTCACTACGAACACATCTGTATTGTGGGTACTTAGTCAGCAACCTTTACTTACCCCCCCCCCCCCCCCCAATTGGTTTATTGTTTCTAAAATACTTATGAAAATAACTTAAATGCACTAAAACATGAAACATGAGTTGAAATATGAAATATGCTGTATATTATCCTGCAAATTGACATGAGTTGATAATAATCATTTGATTTTTTGAAAAGCTAGATTTGAATTTTTTTAAAAATTAAAATTGAAATATTGATCATTGTTCCAGATTCTCGACTGGAGATTCGCACCGGTTCCACTACCGACTCTGGTGGAAACAACCTGGTGGTATAGTAGAACACAGACAGCTGACGGAACATTCCACGCTTTGTTGTAGTGATATTTTCACTGACATGTTCTCTATTGAAGCCAAACAGAACTACAACTTAATGTAGTCATCCTGAACCTAGATGTAACAAAGGTGCTTCTCCACATACAGTTTAAATTACTTCTAGATCTGCTCAGACACAAGTACTGTGAACTGTTAGCCATGTCCTTCATTTGCCAGTGTCTCTTCGGAGAAGTGAATGCTGCCAAAACTGGAGAAATGTTAAAACACCCATTTATGATACCGAACAATGTAGCATTAAATGTTAGTGACAATTTAGACATTTAGTGACCTGAGGGACTATGATCGACGAAGGGCAGTCTTTCCAGCTGTGTAATATTTGTACATGTAACCACATTTACAGAAAGAAGGTTGATTTTGTTTATAATTTTACACAGCACCATTAATGCTGCTTCTTTTTATATTTAAGTAAAATGGACCTTGTTGATATTAACAAAGAAAAAACTGTAAGTGCAATATTTCTTTAAATAAATGCTCTATCAGTAATGTTTCATAAACAGTATGGTTCATTAAAATGTTTTAGCAGTTAATTGAATGTTCAAAAAAAAAAATAAATAAATAAAATAAAATATGAAATTTTCAAGTAATTATCAATACCAAGTTCCATTTTAGTGCTGTCAGTTTGTCTGATCTTTTTTTCAAGAAGGTATAATACACAGTGCATAATTGCAAGGTTGTGAAAAACATGGCAAATGTTTACATTGGTACTCTCCCAGAGGACTAATATGTGTAGGCATTAATTGTTCAAGCAATATTGAACATACAAAACTAGCTGTGGGATGGAACAAGTAATTTGCTGACTAACAATGAATTACTTACTGTATGTATACATTTTTCAAAGCTTAAAAATGGCTGCTTAGGTTCAACTGTAAATATTCTTAGATGTTATATATAGGGTGATAATGCTCCCTCTAATAGGCTTTTGTTGATATTTTTGTAAAATAAATTACATTTGCTGTACATATTTTTGTAAAAATGGTCACAGCAGTAGTGTGAATCTTTTTTATTTATCTTTTACTATTCTTTTTGGAAAAAAAGTAGATATACTTGAAATTGGAAACTTTGATATCCAGGTTCAGTTTTATGTTCTTATAAATGATAGCAATGTAATTGGAATGTCTTACTGAAGATGTCAGTCAAGTTAATACCTGTGATCTTTTGTATTATCAAGAATAAGCGTTATAAACTTTCAAATCAAAGGTGATAACAGATGGAGATTTTAACTGGTGCCCGATTGTTCCAAGGGCATAAATACTGAAAAAGTGGAATTTGAAAAGCAATCAGATGCTCATGAACTAGTACTCTAAATGATCAAATTCAAACATTGTTTGTACACTCTGTATCTGAATTACTGAACAATAAAAGTTATTCACAAAGTGTTGAAATATACTTTTATTTCAAAGTAACTGTTACAAATTGTATGAAAACTTGATTTCTTTGGATCTTAAAAATCATTTAAATGACACATAACTGTCTGTAGTTCTTCTTTGACTGTATCTTATTACTGTTAATCATTGAATTAAAAGAGCAAATCAGTCATTCGCTTCAGAACAGGAAACGTGCATGCAATACAGGAAGTTCAATGATTTCAACAAGTGCACTATAACTTATGTAACACAAACAAACTGTAACATTATTTTTACTACATTTTACTACAGCTGTCAAAGAGGCTGATGATCAGTTTGTAGCGAGCTGATAAGGCAACAATTTTCCAATTTTTTTACTAACTTATGCTATTGAAACTCCATTCCTTCTTTCAAAACCCCAAAATGTTCATGCACATTCTACTGCAGCTGAACAACTCGACCAATTTAATAAAGTTCCTTAATTTTCCTCAAGCCAAAAGCTGATCAAATAACACATCTCCCTGTTCACTGACCCCAATGGCCTGCCATGTACATCTGGAGGGATCAAATGCAGTAAGGGAATCATTCAAATTCCCCTCCACTTGTACTGTTTCTGGATGTGTCTTCTTCTTCTTCTTCTTTTTAACCTTCCTAGGGGAAGTGTGCTTCTTCATATGACATCGTAATGCAGACTTTGAGCCTGAAAAACAAATAAACAAACAAAAAATTATTTATGTTAGTGAAATAGTTATAAATGTTTATTTCGGTGCAATAATTAATGCTGACCACTTTAATACTCAGAAAAGTTGCTGACACTTCTAAAGGGCAAAATGGCACAGAGGCTATATTCTTGCATCAATATGAAGCCAGTTTCATTAATGATCACCATGTACTATTTCTAAAACATGCAGAGTATTAAAACCTTTGGTGCCAATCTGTCATAGGAAATAAATGTAGCATAATTAAACAACATGCATGGATGTTAGATGAAAATGAATTAATTTAGAAAACCATACAGGTGAAAAGAAAGTAAAATTCTTAAAACTGCGTCATTGCAGTGTTCTGAAAGGTGAAACTGACAGGAGATGGGGCAGGGGCTGTGCCCATGATGGGGGGGGGGGGCAGGGGAAGGGGGGGAGGGGAGGGGGGATATGGGGTGAAAGGTATTATAGTACTTACTGGTTTCGTGGTAACACTCAGTGCACTGAAATTTTTTGACTTCCAAGTGAAGCTTTTCATGCTCTCTCAATTTCTTTGCTGTACCAAACTCCTTTCCACATTTGTCACAAACAAGCTTCTCCAAAGCATCTTGGTGTCTCTGTACATGTTTCCGGTACAATTTGTTGTAGACAGTGACATACGGACACAGCTCACATTTCAGCCTCTCTCCCGTGTGCCTTCGACTGTGTTCTTTTAAATTTTTGCGCCATGCAGTGGAATACTGACAATGTTCACATTTGTAAATCTTGCCCATATGCTTGGCCTGATGTTTGTGTAAGTAATACTTTACATGGGTCTTGTAGTCACACTTATCACAGCTGTATTCTGCTGGTGTGTCTGCAAATATAAAAGCAAACATGATCCATTCTGTAGCACACAAAAATGGCTCATTTATTGGATTTTCGAAAATCATCAGAGATTTTTTTTTTTTTTTGCTTATATGGATAAGTGAAAATGGACATTTCATTGATTTATGCATGTTTTTTTTATCAAGATGGTGTTAAGGTTATGACAATGCAATTATTTTTACTAACTTGTTACTAATAGTACAACTTGCCTCTGTGTGCTGTTTCCATGTGTGTTTTCAGCAGAGATGGGAAAAAGAAAGTTTTGTCACAATGTTGACATTTGTGGCTATTGACAGGTTCTATGCCATGTTGAGATTTTTGATGTCGTAACAGATGATATTTTCTATGGAACTGAGCTCCACAATCACCACATAGGAATGGCTTGATCTCTGCAATATCACAACATCAGCATATTTACATGCTTAATTTCTACCAAGTCTAAACACTAGCAAATTAAATCCAAGACAAATGCTCAATAAATTCTAATTTGGCCAAAGAAGAGTCAAATAGTTTGTTAGAAATCATCCTGGAATTGACCTAAAGAAAATATTTCTAGATTGGGCTCAGACAGGTATGACTTGAAATACATGTAAAGCAATAAAACAAATACACAGAAATTTTGGTACCTGAAGTTTTAATTTTAATTATCCTAAGTCAACTTCAACTGTTTCTGATGTAAAACTATTTCTGACTGCAACTACTTTATAGGCAGCTTCTGAATTAAAAATGTTTCACTCTGTGACAAGATATTTAAAAATAAAGGTAATCATTGCATTTTGTCAGTACCTGCATGAATATTTAAATGCTGGGACATCTGCCGCCACTTTGCCCTCTTGTAATCACAATGCTTGCAGCAAAACAGCCCATCTTCTTTATAATACATGCCCTCCCTCCAATTATCCTTTCTCTGTGGCATTTTCCCATTATCTGGTTCTTTTTCTACTAAAAGATATTTTAAAATCCATGATAATTTGCATGTATGTGATCAACTAAACAAGTTTCTAAAGAAAATTCCCTGGATACTTATCCACCCAAATTTTTAGCTAATATTCAGATGACTTTCATTAAAATGTTTTCATTTTCAAAATCACACCAGAATGGCAATCAAATTAAAAATTTGTAAAGAATTTATTAAATTTCAACACACTATATATTATGTATCAGTTAGTTTGCTACCTGCAGTGTCACTTGGGTCTTTTCTGGGACATCCTCTCTTACATTTGGCATCAGTTGGTTGCTGCAGTGGTTTTAACATGCTTTGTCCTTTCCTTGGGCATCCTTTCTTATGTTTGGTGCCAGTTGACTGTTGTAGCATGCCAGTTACTTTGTCTGTAATGTTCTCTAAAACAACTGTTTTATGTTTGCCAATGACCATCTGGTCCACAGGCTGAGGTATGTTAGGAACTGTGTCAGAAAGACCGCTGTGAAAGTCCTCTTTAGAGTTGACTTCATCTAAATCACAGCTAAATGCAGAACACTCATACTCTTGATTTTCTAAAACCTTGTTGGCACTTTCATCAAGATCTCTGCCCTTGGACTCATTTGATCTGTCCCTAAATAAGACAAGTAGAACATAAATATGCTACCCCCATGCCTAAAAATTCTGAAAATAATGCAATGTACTTTTATAGCCTAATAGGAAAAATAAAAATGAGTTATCAGAAACTAGTGGACAGGGCATTAGGAGTGCTAACGCATTAATCTTTGTGTTAACGTTACACAGGCATGAAAACCATTACATGAAGATAAATAAAATTATAAAGAAATAAAAAACTACTTCTGCACTTTTGCAGTATTTTCTCACCATACAACTCTGTGATATCAAATATGGTTTGAAAATTAATTTGTGTGGTGACTTTCAGCAATGTCTATTTATGTTTCTCAAATAAATTAGTTTGGTAATTCATTTTTCCTTTTTTTCATTTTTTTACATGATCTTTTATGCCTTACAAATATTACGAGGACCGATGTTACTGCTGGGGTGAAAATTTGCGGTAATCTCAATCAATGGTCAAGTAACTTGAGGTTTATCTAAAAATGATAAAATTTTATAGCACACTAGCATGTGTTGTAATTAACAGTGGGGATTTCAGAACAAGTTGATCTGCAGACTAACAGATCTACAGATAAAATATGGTCAATTCCGTCTAATTCCTTAATGGGCTCCCTGCCTCCTACACGCAATGTCCCAGCAATATTAATGCTAAATTAAAATTGCTCACAGGATTAATTGCTAGCCCCCTGTAGGGACAGCATGAGGGCCGGAGGCAGGGAGTCCATTGGGGGATTCGGTGGAATTGCTTTTAAGTGGGCTGGCCAAATTTGATTCGCGGATCTGGATCAACTTGTTCTGGAAGCGTCCATTGTTAAGATATATCAAACCTATCAAACCTGAAATACAGAGTGAACAGATGCTGCATAAGTTCATTGGCATTCATGCCTGTCTCCTGCAAAATGTGACTAAACTTGGCAAATATCTCTGCAGTCACAACGATTGAACTACATGAACCTGCCATGACCTGATCGGAAACCATTTTGGTGACATGTATTCTGAAAGGCTGCGTTTTAAGGAAGTTTGCACGTCGACTTCAAGACATAGCACCCGCCAAGGCACTCATTTTTCTCTCGCCAGAGGGCAGCCTAGAAGGTCGGTATCCCAAGATAGGGTGTTAATATTAATTTTATACTGAGTAGATACCTAAAATTTCCTTTTCCAAAATGGCTATTATTTCCCAAATTAAGTGTAATTATAGCTTAGGGAAAATTTGAGTTGGATATGAATCATACGGCGTATTATTTTTAGGACTGTCTTGGGCAGCATCCTCGTTGGTCGCGTGAGTGAAGGTTACGCGAAATGTTGAAGCAAAAACTGGAACTATGATTCTATGAAATTCGATTTATCTTCGCAGCTTCTGAACAAATGAGTGGCCTTGAACCACCATTTGATGACACGGTTGTATTACAAGATATGATAGGGGAGCAGTCTTACGACGAGGATGTGCCAAATGGCATATTTCCTGACGACACGGAGAAGATTATTTCTGACGGCCGGTTGGAAGGCAACGGCAGAGAGGATCCAGATGATTCCGTGGAAGTTAAAATACCAAGCGAAAGACCACATAACATTACCAAGGCTAGATCCTATGTGATCGTGGCCGTCTTATTGTTTATCAACTTGCTTAATTATATGGATAGATTTACAATCGCAGGTAATATTTAAAATATTTTATTTTACAAGGAAATAAAAGAATTTGAAAATGTAACAAGCCGGTTTCTATTTTGTGGTACATTACTTTTTGTTCCATATTATTTGATTATTCAAATTGCTGTTGGATGGAAAACCTTACAAAACATCTTACCCACGGGTATTGCATGACAATAATTTCAGAAAGCTTGCTGTCATTTATTATTAGATTTATAAATGTTAAGGACACTTGTCATTAATGCCATAATGGGCTGCAGAGTCAGAAGTCCACGGGGTATCCAGTTTCATGAAATATGAGTCTAAAAGATGTTGTTTTTAATATGGATTGCTTGAAAATACTAATACACTGTAATGTGCCAGTTCAAATGTTGGCAGTGCATCGTGTATGTCGCAGGTACTGCAAAACACTGCACCACATGAGAAGTATTAAACCACATACTATTAGCCTTAGAAGCAAACAAATAAAAAAGCAAATATTCTGCAATGATTCTTAGTTTGATTGTCTTTCTTGAATATTTAGTAGGAATGCCTTTTTTTAAGCTGTAATATTTTTTATCAATATTTATTTCCAGGTGTGTTGACAAAGATACGTCCATATTATCAACTTGATGATCAGCTCTCAGGACTTCTTCAAACCGTCTTCATTGTTAGTTACATGTTGTTGTCTCCACTGTTTGGTTACCTTGGAGACAGATATAACAGAAAGATTATCATGGTGGCTGGTATATGTTTCTGGTCAGGAATAACACTGGCAAGCTCATTTGTACCAGCTAATGTAAGTACAATACAATATAATACAATACAAATTAAGTCAAACACATATTTTGATGCAATATATGTTTTGATAGTATGTAGTGGCTGTTTTGTTGAATTTGATAATATTTACAGGGAGGCAAATTTGACTCTCTCTAACTAAAGATACAATATTGTATTATCTGCACATTTTCTTTATGACATCAATGCTGCTTGTGACTATATAATCAGCAAGGACTTTTTAGATAAATTCTATGGATAGTGGGTTCATAGTATGGGAATTCCCTATGAAATCATTGCACTTTAGCAGGAATCCCCCTCAGCTATTATGATGTGTGAATTTGAATGCATTTATATATAAGCTTTACTAAACATCCTTAGAGTTTAGTATAGGGCTCTGAAATGCAGTCTCTCTTTTTTTTCTCCCACTAGATGTTTGGGCTGTTTCTGTTCCTAAGAGGCTGTGTTGGTATTGGAGAGGCCAGCTACTCCACTATTGCACCTACACTTATAGCAGATCTATTTGTGAAGGATATGAGGACCAAGATGTTGGCTATATTTTATTTTGCTATCCCCATAGGCAGGTCAGTCTCAAGGTGTCAGTTTGCAGCACTGTTTTTATATACATATTCCTATACATGCTCTCCCTGATGACTAGGCATACACTTTATACACTTTTATACATTTTATACACTTTATCGCAAAGTTCAAAAGTTCAGAAGTACATGTTTTGACTATATCTATTCTATCAAAACAATTTACAAGGACAAACTGTAGGTATTATAGTTTAACTAGTGAGTCATTATACTAATTCTGTTTATAAAATGAGTGTCATTATAAAAGTCAATAGATAGTTTAAAAAAGGCACTGCATCAGTAAATTGTAAATTAACTCAAAGTAGCACTTTCTTTTATGTGGCACATGGCATAACGGAAAAAGTTAACTTCATTAATTTATCTTTTATTTTGCAGTGGTTTGGGGTACATTGTTGGTTCAGAGATTGCAACTGCCCTTGGAAACTGGAAGTGGGCTCTTAGGGTAAATTGACAGGTCTCATTTGTATGATGGCGTTGCATACTGGGATGGAAGTTTGTTGTGATGATATAGGAGGAGGTGGTGGTGGTGGGCGGGGGGGGTGTGTCGGGGGGGGGGGGGGGGCAGTTATATACTACACCAAGCTTTGGAGGTTCCCGCTTCTCTCTTTTTGTCTCTCTATGAAAAATACATTACTAGTACTTCCATTCTTGTGCCATTACAATAAAATTTTCAGTTATTTTGCTAAGCAAAATTTAAGCATGTGCCCCCTAGCAAAATCTAAGGGTACTATAAAGTAGTAGTAGAAGTTGTATTAGTACATCAAGTTTTCGTCAGTATAAAATGTTGTTTCAAGTGGTCTGGTGGGTATTATATCAGATGTAATAACTCTTCATGTCAGGTAACTCCAGTGTTGGGTGTGATCTGTGTGATTCTGATCAGTACTCTGGTGAAGGAGCCACCCAGGGGGCAGGCAGAGGGGGGCACACACTTACACAGCACTAGCTACCTGGATGATCTCAAATACCTTTTGAAGAAGTAAGTATACGTGAAACACATGTTCTATCTCAGATATCTAATTACTGTGTTACAGTTTAAATTTAGTTCTAACTGGATTTTTAATTTGTGTAAGAAGTCATTAGTGTTGAGAGTTTTGCAAAGACAAGATTGTACCTGGATTTTTGTCTAGGCAAATATTAATTCTGCTTAGGCAAGATATGAAATTTTGATCAATTTATTGTTTGATTATAATTAACCAGTGTACTAACACAAATTGGTGTATGCAAGTGCCTCTTATGACATGCCATGTATGGATGCATCTCATTTTAAATGTCACACATTATAGACAACAATCTTATGGAAGTATTTTTCTTAATATCAGTATAGTGTTTACAATATACCATAATTATAAACTCATTTCTAAATGAAGACTACCATCTCTTTCCAGTAAAAGCTTTGTATGGTCCACATTGGGTTTCACCAGTGTGGCCTTTGTGACAGGTGCCCTGGCCCTCTGGGCTCCCACCTATGTCTACAACTCCATACTGGTGCAAGATCAGGTGGACAGGACACCTAAACAGAAGTAAGGACAATATTCTTAAGGCAGAATCAAGGGGTTTTATGGAGACAATGTTTGTATTTTTAACATATCAGTATGGTGACTTTTGAACAGAGTTATTATCAAGAATGCATGTTTTACTGATGGGAGATAATTATTATCGAGAATGCATGTTTTACTGATGGGAGATAATTATTATCAAGAACGCACATTTCACTGATGGCAGATAAGTATATTCTTCAATCAGCAACTCAGTTTTTTGAGGATGATAAAGGGAATAATCTAATGTATTTATCAGTTATTTTGATTTGTCATGTTAATACTAAGTTTAGCTGTCAGTTTGATTTTACTTGATATTTTTAGTAAAAGGGAAAAATGTATTATGTTTCAATAAGTAATTGGTTGTATTTCAGAGATGACTTGAGTTCCAGTGTGAGTCTAACATTTGGAATCATCACTTGTTTGGCTGGGTTCTTTGGTGTGGGTATAGGGGCCGAGTCAGCACGGAGACTACGTAGCAAGTTTGATGCTAGGGCAGACCCCTTTGTGTGTGCCTTTGGTCTGCTGTCATGTATGCCATTCCTCTATGTTGCCATTGTAGTTTCTCAGTATAACACAATAGTGACATGGGTAAGCATTTTGTATATATAACCATAGTATTTACAGTACATGTTTTGAAAATGAAAGCGAAAAAGCGAAATGAAGTAATTAAAGGTGAAGAATATAAGATAATGTTTAGACTTTATCAGTTTCATACCAATTTATCATACAAATATAATCTTTACATAGTAAAAGGAAGATTTTCACAGATAGTTCTTTGAGATGAAAAGATAATTCTCATATTTTTCTTTCAGGTTCTCATATTTTTAGGTGAAACTCTCCTATGTCTTAATTGGTCAATTGTAGCAGATATATTATTGGTATGAAACTCTTCTTGTATTCATAATTCTGAAAACAACCAACAATGAAAGGGAAATTAAGTAGACATATTCTCAGATTAAAAGATATTCTCAGAATAGTTCTAAGTACAATTGGGGATTTAAAGTTGATTGATTGAATTGCCTTATGTTTGTGTGAGTGTATTTTTCTTATAAGTAAGCATACTGGATAATTATTGCAGGGAGTTGTGATTCCGACCAGACGTTCAACAGCAGAAGCTGTACAGATAGTGATGTCACATCTTCTTGGGGACGCAGGGAGTCCCTATCTCATAGGACTGGTAAGTGGAACAAATCCAGTCAACAATATTGTGACTACAGAATGCTCTAAGGCAAGATTAACAGGCCTGTGACCAGAAATTTTAAGAGGGGGTTGGGTCTGCCAACAACCTGAGGTGCAGTAGTTGTTGTATAATACAGTCATTAGACAACATAGGTCATTGATGTAAAAGTATGTTTTGTCCATGTATCTGTTTCAGATGTCTGACAAGATCAGAGGAAATGAGCCCAAGTATCCCCAGTACGAGTACTTTGCCCTGCAGTATGCATTGTACATCACAGCATTTGTTGCTGTACTGGGAGGGGGAGCGTTTCTAGCCACGGCAATCTACATTGTATATGACAAGAAGAAAACTGATAAAATTATACATGAAGGTTTGTTGGAAGGCGTTCACTTGGAACGCTGCTTTGGTTATGGCACCTGTAGAGCTTGGACTAACTCTGGAAGACTCTGTTTAAAATCTCTGTTGCTGCCAAGCTGTTTATGTTATTCTTTCTTCTCATTTTTTGTATTGTTTCATGCTGAATGGCCTTGGATTTCTGTTTGTTTACTGTTTGTCTCATTGCTTACCTTTACTTAAATCATGTAGACAGCCAACTATAAGGAACCAGGGTACTTACATATTTACTGTGTTAAAGTTTTGATTTTGTCCTGCATGTTTTCCACCCTAACATAAAGCACCTGTTCAAGTCACATTTTTCTTCCCTCCCAGCCATCCAACTCTCTAACTCTAGTCCAACCAACCCTATTCCTACCATCTCTCTCAGTATGAGAGATTTACAGGCTAATGGAAAAGAAAATGGTATGTTGTAGCATTAGCACTGTACAGTTACAAATTCCAGAACCAGAGAGATGCGAATTGATGAATTTTTGAGTAATTTAGTATTGATGAAAATTTTTTCTCTTTCCAAAATATTTGGTTGTGGGGCCTTTAGTGCTATTGTCTCAAATAATATTACAAATTTTAAACTTGATTATAAATTAAATTAAATTTATTAAATTCGTGTTGAAGTAAACCCAATTCTCATACTGATTAGCTTCCTCATCTTCAAGTTTACCTTTTCAAATCAGTAATCAGAATTTTGGAGAGATAACTTCTTTGCTGTACAGCATATCAAAGGAACTAGAAAGAGAAGGGGGTGGTGATTATATAATTAGATTGAAGGTCTTTAAAATGATTTACCCAAGGACCACCTAGATGTTCCCTACACACATCACAGACATCATTTATCCCATGTGTTGTCCCCTGTGTGGTAGTCTCAGTTTACGCAAATATCACTGCTAACTGTCCATGCATTTCTGTAGCCTGTCTACAGGGAGAGAGCCTAAGCTACTTGCCAATTCCATGATATTGTTGCTAGCTGTGCATGCTGTAGTTGGTGGTGAGTTTTCCAGGTTGTAGTCTTTTTCTCTTCTTTCTCGTTTGATCTTGGTATTAGACAGGACAACTCAAAGGTGCCTTAATTGAGGACTGGTCCAATTTATGGAGAAATATGCACTTTAATGCATTCATTTTAAATATCAAAGCTGTGTAAAAATGTCTTATTTTTAACCTGTCTGATATCCAGTATCAAAGCCACTTTCTGGGGTGTATGTGCCTTTAATGCATAGAATATGCATATCACTTATCTTTCTCTTGTATTTACTCGCTGAGTGCTTTTAACATATCTCTGAATTGACAGTTTTTGATAAGTAGATTGATTTAAACTGGTGATTTATATCAAATAAAAGAGGCAACTAAATGTATTTTGCAGCAATGAAGATTAGTTTAATGAATGTCAGATGTACAACTGTAATATTTAAAGTATATTTATTTTTGTACTACTGTGGAGTGTGCTTCACTGTTACAAAATGTAATTCCATATTTGTTAGCTATCAAATGGTTCCAAGGATTTCTGATTATTAATATTTTAATGATAATCACTTCTGAACAAAATATGAAACGGCCACATTTCACTCATGTCACAGAGCATCATGAAGCTGAATGCCCACAGGTCGTAGTTTGTGATTATCATCTTGAAAACATAATCTAATTCATTATTGCCGTTGACCTGCATTTCCACATTGGCTAATTCATTATAATGGTCATTTCAGGTCTGCAAGCAGAGGTGAGTACAGAAGAGGATACAGTGCCTGGAGCACCTGCAGAGCCAATTTAACCTCCAGATACCAGAGAGTTTACCAAGAAGAGCTTTTCCTCTTGTGAGCTGTGTGTGAATAATACAACGAGAACAAATGTCTATAATCAGATGATATCCAGACTTCATAATAAATATCTATATGCATCTTATTTATATTTTGAGATACTCCACATATATACATTAAAATGTTTCTTTAATATGGTCATACTTGTATAATTAAATGGGTGACAATTATCGAGTAACAAACTTTCCTTCCATGTGAACGAATTGAAGTGAATAGTTTCAGATATATGTATCTGTTGGATTATTTCATTGCTATTGTTATCATGTTATCTTTTTATTATATATAGCTTATTCATGTTTTGCCCAAAGAGATCTGTTGTGCATGTATTGTTCCTGTTATTTTTATTTTAGCAGTGGTTTTGTCAGTATTGAAAAAATGATCATCAGAGCATTCTCGGGCCATGACGTGATTTTTTTTTTGACAACTTTTTGACAACTTGTTGATAATAAGATTAAGATTAGAATTAAATTCTTAATGTTTGACAAAAATTGATTGGAAATTATATATATATTTATATTCCTTGAATTATATGTGCAATTAACCATTCACCCAAAGTGAGCTTTTTTCAAAATTTTGTCTTCGGATAGAACTTTACAACTGATAGTTTTCCAGTACACTGCCTTAAATCTTTTTTTTTTGTGCTCTGAAGTGTTTTACAGAATGTTTTGTAATTTGGTTCTGTAAAACCAAATAATGCACTGGTTTTTGTTGACCATATACGTACCAAATTATATTCCACGCAAAACCTTTAATACACAGATCGGCTTCATTGTTTGCATAAAAATTAATTTAAGGCTTGGAAATTGCTTCAAAATGATCCTTGAATAGACTGAAAAATGTGTGAGATAGGCCCTTTGCAAATGGAATGGTACAGTTCAAGAGATGGACAACTTCATAGCCTGACTGTGACCTAACACAGCCCATGTGCTCAACTTGGCCTAAATAAACAGCAGGAAGCAAACTTGTGCAGAGCTTAAGAAAGGTGGTAAAAAAAACCCTGTAGCACACTAGTAATAACATGTAGGGACCTCTTAATGGGGACTACTAGTCATTCGGTTTAGTGTTCTTCTTGCTGTGAAAAAGGCCATAGTTTGTGCAATACATTCTCAGGGGAAACTGTTCAGTGATGATTTTCTGACAAAAATTAATTAGTACCACCAGCGTCTACGCTGGCGGTAATCATGGTTTTAGTNTTTTGAATATAAAAATGTAAAATTTTTGTGAAATGTAAATGCTAACAATATGATTTGTTTTCAGTGCTTGTATTAAATGTATTTCATCAGTGGGACATTTTAACTTAAAAGTGGATATAAATGTAGTTGAACCAAACAGAATAAAACAGTTCAGTAGACTTGCATTCTTTATAACTGAAATGCATTATCAGAATTGTAATAATACTATGTAAATCAACACAAGCCATTAATGATAAAATGTTTGAACAAAGCTACAGAACTGGTTGGTTTTGGTGTTTCTGACTTCCACAATATTGGCTTAAAACGGTTTACTGTTTAATTTGGCAGTAAGTAGTTTGGAGAAGAGAATGTCAGTTTCGGCGTGGTGGTGGGTGGGGGGACTATCTTGTAAATATATATTTTGCATTGCTTTAAGGACAGCTTCTGTAGGCTGAGAAGTTACTAGGCAAAGCACCCCTCCTGTTGGATGGAGGAGGGGGGTGGGGTAGACTTTTACACCTTGTCAGCAAATTTATGTGGCAAAATGCCTCTTCCCAGCTATGGCAGAAAACATCTACAAATATGAAAATTGTCTAACATCCTGTTAATTCAGACAGTGAAAAGAAATTAATTAATGAAAAGTTTGTAAAATTGTTTTAAAAAAGGCAAGGAAACAAATTAAGATGCCTTTGAGTACAAACTGTTTTATTTTATAAAATTGTTTCTACTTAACCATTATTCAATACTGTCACAAGTATTGCACAATTGCTGAAATGCGGTATAATAAAAATAAAGACAATTGTGGTTTGAATATGAATTAAAGTTTACAGAACAAATCAATACCTGCAGATAATTTATTTGAATTGTTTTATGATTTATTTGAAAAAGAATTTGTAAAAAAAAAATTGTCAGAATGTTAGCAGACTCTTCAAATGGACAACCACTACTTTATTTTTGCCTTTTTAATAAAAATGCAACATGACATATCCCTCCACTTTACAAACACACAAAAAAATTCATTGAATTGGTTAACATCAGGTAAAAAAATCTTTAAGTGGTCTTTAAATTGGATGCTTGACATGTTCTTACAAGCCGAAAAAACTTTTAAATTCATTAATAACAAAGATACATTTTCACAAAGTCTAAACAACACTTTTACTGGTGCCTTTTAAGTATTTCCAGTATGGATAAACAAGAGAAACAAAATTATATACATGGGCTAATATCAGTAAATAAAACTAAACTGGTTGTCAATATTGACATGCACAACCACCTCTACCTTCCCAAAACTTATAATATCTTATTTAAAAAAATGATATAATCTCAAGATTTAAATAAATAATCAAATTCTAGAAACTGCAAACACTGACCTTTTTAGACGACTAATTTAGATTGCATTCACAATGAGTTGAGCCATGGCTTTACAAATCCTGGAACTAAATATGGCGGACGTACATGAAAGAAAAAACGCCTAATCTTTTAATAGTCTCTCTGCCTCTCACACGCCTCCCCATGTGTCGTCCCACTGGAGCCGAGATTTAATGACTGTACCCCCGCAGGGAAGACGCATGGGGAGGCATGTGAGAGGCGGAGAGACCATTAAAAGATTAAGTGGTTTTTCTTTCATGTATGTCTGCCATATTTAGTTCCAGGATTTGTAAAGCCATGGCTCAACTCGTTGTGAATGTGATCTTAGAGAAAACGTTCAAAAATGATCATATCTCCCCATATTTTTAAACAAATTGTTGTTACGTTCATTCATTGAGCACTGATCTTGAATCATTTCAATTACATACTTGAACGTTTTAAATAGTCAACAAATTAAATTATAACATCAAATGCATATGTTTGAAAAGAGAACACACACTCCCGCTACCGTGGATCTGATCCACATCTACAACTGTGACCTTGCAGGTGGCGCCCCCCAGGTAGCCATTTTGTGACAGGCACACAACTTGTAATTCTATTGGTCCATTTCTGTTCATCCCCACACCACCAGTCTCAGGCAGGTCACCATCCTTGCTGGACACAAAACATGTTTATTTTATTGCTTGTGAAAAGATTGGAAAAAAGTCTTCTGCTTTAATGCAAGAAAAATGCAGAATTATCTGGTGCAGTAATTTTCCAGCCCCTGACATTACCGTGGTGTCAAAGTACTTTAGTCGTTTCCTTGTTATTATTCCAGTTAAACTTGTACTTGCTCTTCATGCGGAAAAGTTTAGGTTTTGACTCTTGAAGCCTGCTCTTCAGCTTTTCCCGTATAACGAGAAGTGTAGTCCATGCGTTTCCAGAGGCAAGGACAAAGAACATGAAGCATACAACTGGTACCTGAAACAAATTTGAAATTTTTTTAAAAATGAAAAAAAAAGAAAAAAAAAACTTTAAATTTCAGACACACTTTGCTGAATAGACTAGTCTTCTTTTTACTTAAATTTACAATCAAAATTAAAGGTATACAGGTTTATTTCCTTGTAAGCAACTCAAAGTTTTCTCTCAATTAATGTTGTATGAAAACCATCCAATCAATTTTAAAACAACTCCTATGAAAACACAATGAATAGGAGAAAAAACTGGACACCACAGCTATCCACCACATTGATATCCTGTATATACTGACCTGCAACTCAGACTGCGGATGAAAGGCCAAGTGGTACAATGTGTAGGCATTGTAAAACTGGAATATCTATAAGAAATAACATAGGATTATTTATAAGCAACAACACAGGATTATGTATGAGTAATTTTAGCACGAACAGAAACATTTCAATATCTACACTTTTTAGTAATGCAATTTTATTAAAATCAGATTTTAAAAATTTGTTGTTCATAATATGACTTGTACAGATAATTACTATATTAAGTACATGCTCTTTACATACAACAAACCAACAAGATACAGTGAATGTACACCCTGATTATCAAGTTATCATAGAAGACAGTGTTTTTTACACATAAGCTGAGATCTCTAATTAGAACTTACATAGCCCCCAAACAAAAATGGCAGGATAAAAGACAGGCCCTTCCACATCCAAGACTGAAACCCCTCTGAAAGTAAAACATTCTTAATTCAATAAATTTAATATAATATTCTTAAGATTCCTTTCACAAAATATTGCATATTTAGAAGTTTAACAAGATGACCTGCATATCAAATATTTTCACCATCATATTTAAGTATTGCAGCTGTTTTGTTGTCAATTCGTAGCACGTCTATGGGTCAGTGTTCTCAAGTTTTTTCCATCTTGGACCCTTTTCAAAATCCCGTTCCTCTTACCAACAAAAATCTTAATGATATCTCACCAACAGTGATATCCATATTGTGCCTTTCTCCCAATGCTCTCAGTCTGTACAAACACCCGCTCTGGTAGTAAAACTGAAGCACTTGGACAAAACCTGTTAAAGATTAATCAATTTCTGTTATAATTGTGAGTATAAAAGATTTTGTTTAATACATATGAAATCATTACTTCCATTGACTCAGGAACTGTTCTGTCTAAAAATTAAAATTATCATCACTTAATAACATATATAGTAAATAATATGAGGAATTCTACATTAAACCTTTTATATCTTTTAATAAACTGAGAAAAAACTATTCCTTACTCATACACTTCAATGAACAAAGAAAGACAAACTTTTACTCACTGAGATATACAGAGAAAATCATAAATTGTTGCCGGAAGAGTCTGTAAGTCACACCATCAGGCCTAAGTAAAGAAATAGATTACACAAATGAATATCCAAAGTATATGATAACCTTTGCTTCAATAAAATGCATAGAACGATTACATTTGAAAACGTACCATGTGCGTGCGTGCATGTGTCAAATATTACAGAATGTCCAAAATTGGGGACCACCTGTATGTGTCAGAGACAAATAGTCTATGTTGAACTTAAAAGTTGAATTCAATAATGCCAATATTATATATATGTCAAAGTACTGTTTTATTTTCAATGTACTTACCAGATCAGCAGCACCCCAGTACACACTGTGGACACAAAGTGATGAGCCACCCACCAACCCTTGATTCTGTAATGTGTCAACAACTATATCAAAATATTGAAACTGCCAAGATAATGAAACAAGGTAGGTTTCTGAATAAAGAAATCAACTTCATATATCTCATATAGAAAATAAATCTGAATGTAAAGAGATATTCCCTGATAAAGCTGTTTCATCAATTAAATAACAGGGATATCAAAACATAATATGCTGGACAAACCAATAAAAAATTGGACGTGGAGGTGGTAATTTATAATCGAAGCCACATTATCCATTAAAACCCTGATAGCAGTTGCTTCTTTTTGGAATTCCTTATACTCCTTGTCACCATCACTCTTTTTATTAATTGATTCATATAGGTTACCTTGAACCGTTCACAATAAGAATGGACTCTCTTATCGTCAATGTACAGTAGTACCAGACCAAGAGAAAGTGGTAGGCAGCATCCAGATACCTGGAAATACATGGGCCAACATAGTTATAAACATATTCCTTTATGTTTTCAAGCATAACCCAAGATTAGGGCCTGGAGGAGGAAAAATATATATTTCAGTAACGCTCTTCAGGCAATTATTGTTTTCCAAGTCACCACAACCCATTCATAATTGGAAATTTTCTATGGAATTAAAACCAAAATGATAAAAATGCAAATACAGAAAAATATATACAGATTCATGTTACTGTACAATGAGGTGTAGGAATTAAAGCATTACTATATGGCTCACCTAGATGATATAAAGAACAGTAAACAGAAGGCTAGCACCATGGAGATGGTGGACACAATCAGCTTGAACTTCTCGTAGTCTTGCTTATATAGATATCTGAAAGCAAATATCAGGAAAGTGAATCTTTTTTCACCTTCTTGGTTTTAAAAAATCAGCCAGCCCCTGCCTTTATGATAGCTTAGGCCTATTTTCCTTTTCAGATGCAACTGCTTTAAAAAGTGCCAACTTGCAATTAAGCTACTTTATTCAAATGCTTTTGAAATGGCTTTCTTTCAACAATCCATACTCACTTATCTTTCTTGCTAAGAAGTGATACGTTGACCTGCCCAAGAACAATGCTTAAATATATCCTGTAATAAAAAGAAAAACCTAATATGATATGAACATTAAAAATTTTAATCTGCAATAAATAAATAAATAAATGAAAGTGTTAGTGTAAATTTTCTCAATGGATCAGAACATGAAATGTTTCATACTTAAGAAAATGATTCAGTAATTGAGTACGTCAGAATTACCCATTTTTATGTGGCAGTACATCTTCAAATTCCCTAAACTGGGTTTTTCTCTCTTCTATTGTCTGATATAAACTTGCAATTTCCTGATCATTGGATTTGCCATACCTAAAAGGAAAAGAAAACTTATACATATATGGTTAATAAGAACAATACCCAAGTTAAATAAATCCAGATTTGTATTCTGATGATTTATTTTGATTCATTTCAAAATCAAAACAGAAAATGCATATAAAATAGGAAAATGAAGTTTTCAAAATACTTAACAACATCTACTGGTAATTTATCCAGACAGGTATTTTTTGTTTTGACAAGGTCAAACTCAGCAATATATATATATATGATAATATTGTAAGCTTTCTACTACTAGTACAACTGGTACAAGATGGCAGCTGCAGTTTTACCTTGTAATCTCAATACGAACAAGTATCTCTAAGGCTAATACTTACTTCTTTAAGTTATCTGCAACCTGTTTCATGCGATACCTCTGATGTGCAATTCCATTCACACATTTTGCCTGCAAATTCTTAACTTCATCTACTTTACTCACATAGTTCTTGTGATTCTCCTAGAACAGACAGGACCAATGTCTTAGTTAATAATAATAATAATAATAATAATAATAATAATAATAATAATAATAGTTATTCTATATGGGTACGGTGGGTCATAAAATCAGTCAGAAATTCAAATGATGTTCAAGTCTTTGTTCGTGTCAAGCCACACAGTTTTACGTGAATAACATCATGATGCAATACTGCATACAGCTAACATAGAAGTTTGATTATTTTGTCCCCAAAGTCCGTTTGAAAACAGGAATAACTAAATGCTATAAATATATATATATCATAATTTAACGAACATGGTAGGTAAATATTTAATTAACAAAAAAAAAAAGGTAAAAGTAACTGCACTCAACCCCAGGTGAGTCACAACAAGACTAAATCATAGTAAATGAACGTTTTACTCAGCAGGTGAAACTTGCTGTTTCATTTACAACTATAAAGAAATTTATTTTACCTCCAACTCTTTAAACTCAGTTTCCAGTTCTTCCCATTCGGCAATAACACTCTGTAAACTACTCATTCTCAGATACTGTAAAGATGATTTTAGACCTGCAAGTTCAGCTTCGTCAACTACAGCGACATTTTTCTACCTCCAATGATGCAGTCCGAGGAGATCTCCACGAGCCAAGACAGGCCTTACGTTAAGCGAGACCCCTTGTGGCCGATGTAAAATTTTAAAATATTTATGCAAATTAAAAGGTGAAAAGAAAAATCGTAAGAAATATACACCATTCAGATACTTCTATTCTGGATATTGTTTCATATAGCGTTATGTTACGTACATTTTCAACAATACAGAGCACAACAGACCTTGATTTAAACAAGGAGTTTTCTGTTATAACTCCTTGATTTAAAGGAAATTTGATTATTTTCTCTTTCAAAAAGGTATTGGTTGTTGGTTTGGTTTTTGTGAGAAATTTACAACGGACTACTGGAAAAGCCTTAATCATGCGTTTTTTTATGCTCTAAAATTGCCCACAGTGTGAATTGTTAGCCCACCCCTCACCTTGAAAAAATAAAAACTAAAATTCAGCTGATAAGGTGAAAAATCATGTTTAAAATAAACCATGAAACTTGTTCACCAACTTATCTATTTTTCCTGGCATAACTGAAAATATTACTTGAAATAAGTTCTTTAAACTTGCAATTTAAAGGACATATGAACACTCTAATATCATAAGCCATTTCAATTGTCTTTATTGATAGTGTTTGGCTGATCATATTTCTATAAACATAAAACGTTCAACAATGAAAAATGTCATGCCAGTTGCTAAGTACATGTATGTTTATGTGTCCCATGTGAAGTTGAAGGGGTATATCCTGCTACTCCTCTTTCTCCATCCACGGCGAGTGGAAGCTCTAGAAATTACAGTGTCAGTCTTCAGTAGATCAACATACTTGATAGAGAGTCCAGCTCTGCTCCCATATTTTGGTTCCCACAATATATCAGATTGATCTCATTGCTGCTTATCTAAAAACAATTCATTGTTGTAATTTTTATGAAAGATGTAATACAATGCACTTGTGGAACTTTTGAAATTGTAAGAAAGTTTCAACTTCTTCAAAGTGAATGCTATTTTACAACTATTTGCTTAATTTATCTGTTGCCAAATTTGCTGCATTAGCTTTTTCCTGAACTGCATCCAGTACTTCCATTCTCTCTTTAATAAAGTCCTGTTTTGTTTCAACTTGGATCATCACTTCCTGAAATTATTACAGCCATTGTTGAATTACACTTGAACACTTCATGTCAAAACTCTGTGTATTAACTAAGCGTGTGGGAATTCAATCTTTTAAGATAAAGTAATGATGTATGTCTGTTTTCATTATGAACTCCAATAAACAAATATTAACGTAATGTAAATTAAAATGCTCTTTTAATGCATGTTGACCTATAAATACCTCAACAGAATCATCAAAACTGTGACTTGTAAAGGTACATTCCGCAAAGTTGCACTGCCGTCCAAAAAATTTCTTAAATGGTGTCATCACAGCTGCAATATAAAGGTGTGTAGATTTTTATGCATTGTACCTTTTTAAATATCTATGCCTTGGCTTAATGCTGTTCACTCATCCTAATTTATCTATCTATCTAGGGATGAGAATGGAGTGCATTTAACATGTTATTTATTCTTTTTTTTTTTTTTCAAAATTGCAAGACTTGACTTTATGTACCTATAACTTCATAGATTTTTAGCAATGACTTTTTCAAACTATAGATTTTAAAGATCAATGTTTTGTACCTATAGATTTTTAAGACTGATTTTTTGTACCTATAGATTTGTGAGGCATATTGTTTTGAAGATAATCATAAGTGGGAAGTTGTTCTGTCCACTGGAAATCCAGTCCCTGTTCCTCCAAATGTCTTCTTACCATGTGCTGAAATGCCTTATGGCTCTGTTCCACCTGATGAAGATATAATGATGAATTTTTTACTGATATGTGATAATAATGGAATAGCACATGATACAAATATGTATTATATTTTCATGTGTATGGGATCAAAGACATGTCAAAAGTTTTGATGGGAATGTGCCAGGAGCACAGTTCACAGAAAGTCTAAGAGCCAATTCAAAACATCAGACTAACAGATGCACAAATCAAATATGGTGACCCACTCAAAAGCTTGCTGCTTAATTCAAAATTAGACACTAAATATATTCCCTGCGTGGATTACACAACAAGCATCTAAGTGTGGGTTGGTCATATTTGATCCACGGATCTGTTAGTCCACTGTTCTGAATGCGCTCTTACAGTACACGTTTTTGAAAGAGTGTATCTTTGCTTCCTAAAATGGGACAGGCGAGTATATAAAGTTGACTTTGGAATACTGGTCTTAGGTGTCTCGTCCACACTCACCTTTCCTTGGGACTGGGGATGGCAGGGTTTTCCATACACAATTTTTACTCTCATTTTTTTCATAAGAAGCTGAATGGCTACTTTAAAGTCTCCTCCAAAATCAGCATACAGGATATCTGGAGGGCCGACACAAGAGTAGTACTTATACAGTTCCATTGCCACTGCTTGAGCTGATTTTTCTTTTAGAGGAGCTCTCTTCACGAATCTGCTGAATACATCAATGATCTCTAGAACATATCTATATCCATTGATCTCTAAGCCCTCCATGGAGATCAAGTCAATTTGGTTGATTTTTTGTGGGGATTTTACTACTAGAGGTGTACGTTCTGGAATGTTATTGGAAATAGAATGTGACTGGGAAATTTGTTCTTGTATGTTTTGTGTGATTGGTCTGTCTATCTCATCTATTGCTTTCTTCACATGATTATGCGCTTGTATTTTTTTCCTTCTTACACCTTTAGTTTGCTTTTGTGCCGGTTTAACAACATGAGGAATCCTCGATTTTTTGGGCACAATCTTGTTTTCATAAAATATTTGTGGTTCACCATCTAGAAACTTTATAGAATATTTTCCTGTGTCGACACGCCGAAGGGCTGCACGGGACTTTGATGTATTCGTGGTCTTAGATCTTTGCTTAAAGTCACTCCTACTCTTTTTTCCACTTAAAATTTCAACCATGATGTGGTATGCTTCATCATCAATGGCACTCACTCTTCTGCCCTGAAAGTGAAATATATAACTGACTGGGCTTGATAAAGTTTAGATTAGCACTCAGATATCTTTACCAGTAATTTGTGATTAACTTATATTCTACAAAATTATATTTTCAATTTTGAAATAATTTCTTCTTTGCTGGATAAATTCTCTGAACCTTCCTCGTCCCAGAGGGGGATTTGCAAGGATCCTTCAGCTCGTCCGGCCCTGGCATTGCGGAGGCTGATAGACGCACATTCTGCTAAACATTTTCAAGGGATGCTTCTTATATTTATCGGTTCATCACGATATTCAATAACGCAACCACAGGGACCAAGCACTAAATAAATAGGTAAAGGTCACAGGTCACGTGATGGGAAAAGCCCTCTGAAACTCGTGTTGGGGATTCCTTGATACATGCTAGTGACGTCACAAAATGGCGACTCGCGTGTTGAAATCGCTGTTGGTATGTAAAATTTTTCAGTTTTTATACCTGTCGATGTAATGTAATAGACTTCGGTTAACATTTAATTGAAATGTATTGGAAATCTTTCAAATTAAAGAAATTGGAAAATACAAATTGATTTGTAGATATTATAACACATTGCTATTTGCCAAAATCGATGAGCGTTCTTACACCATTTATATTTCTGAACAATGTACATGAATAACTACAGACTATCATCATCTTCCTCGGCCATCTCTGTTAGCCACAACCTCTGCCATCTCTGTAAGCCACTTCAGAGGAATCTGACGTAATAATAAGAACCAAGAGGTGTAAATGAAAATGGATGTACAAAATGAAGAGCACGATAATTTTTTCAAAAATTCAGGGACAGATCTACTTGATTTTGTTTACACTGAAAATTATATTATCCACAGGAGATAATTTCCTTGTATTTTTGTCCTTTTTTGGTCTTTGTTGGTGTGGCAATTGTTATGACTAACAGCAATTTGTTTCACAATACATGCAATAAGAACTTTGAACATGGACTTGTTTTTTATTTTTTTTTACTTTCTTAAATCTTTTCAGGCACCATCAGTAAGAACCCTCTGCCGAAGATATAGTTCACAAGATGTATGTTATCTTATCTTATCAACAGCCCCTCTTTATGAAATGTCTTTGCAACTTATTGTGTACCAATGTTATTGGATAAAGCTAATATTTCATGGACATTAAGAAAATTAGAATAATCAGAGAATTCGAATATAAGATTTTCCTTCAAAAAAATTCTAACCTTTGATCCCCTTAACATCTTTGACAATCTGGAGAAATTAAAAAAAGCCTGTTAACCTCTATTATAATTTGACCACAGCTTTTTACTTGTTTATTTCAAGGCAAGGACAGTGACCCTCATCCCAGGAGATGGAATTGGACCAGAAATCTCAGCAGCTGTACAACAGATATTTTCAGCAGCACAGGTGATATGAAAAGAATATTACATCAACATTTTATCTGATGTTGTAATTTGTAATTGTACACCTGTTTTTCAGACTTCTAACTTTTTGTTAGTAAATATAGATATGTCTTTGTTAGTAAATATAGATATGTCATAAGCTTACACCATTTTTGTGAAAAAATATCCGGGCAAAATGTCATTGAGTCTTTTTTATACTGTTTATAAGTAAGTGACCTATGTATAACACATTATCTAACATACATTATATTTTTTTAGTTATTTATTTTTAAATGTATTTTATTATAAATATATGACTAGGTACCCATATCCTGGGAGGCAGTAGATGTCACACCAGTCAAGGGACCCGATGGAAAGTTCCGCATCCCTCCTAAAGCCATAGAATCTATGAACAAGAACAAATTAGGATTAAAAGGACCACTGGCAACACCTATTGGGAAGGGGCATCCTTCACTGAATTTAGCTCTAAGAAAGTAAGTATATAAAATGGAAGTATAAATCAAACATTCAGTACTGATTTCACTGTTTCTGTATTTGATAATTCATCCTTTAATTGAATGAAAAAAAATTAGTCATGATAAATTAATTTTTGCCTGACATTTTGTGCAGTAGGATTGCACTCTTTGATACAATAGTTTACCAATATGAATGTATCATTACCAGAGAGTTCAGCCTGTATGCCAATGTACGGCCATGTAAGTCAGTAGAGGGCTATGAGACGGTCTACAAGGATGTGGACCTGGTTACAATCAGAGAGAACACAGAGGGAGAATACAGTGGAATAGAACACATTGTGCGTAAAGTAAAAGTTATCTTTCTTACTTTCATAATGAAATCTAGAATCTTACAGCCTGCTATCATGTTGTACAGCACACAGTTGGAATTAAGTGTATAGTTTTGTTTTGTTGCTACTTCCAGAGCATCCAGTATACCCAAACCAAACATATTGTCACAATTTATGTAGAACCATCTTCTAGATGATGCATTAGCTTAATCCTAGAAAGATCTTATTAAAGACACTGTTACATCTAACACACTGCCTCTGTACAAAGATGAATATAATTGTGTTTTTCAGATAGTGGATGGTGTTGTTCAAAGTATCAAGTTGATTACAGAGCAAGCCTCCAGAAGAGTGGCAGAGTTTGCCTTTGAATATGCCAAACTGAATGGTAGAGACATGGTGACAGCAGTGCACAAAGCCAATATCATGTGAGTAAGGAGAAAAGCAATTTGTGCAGTTCTTATCAAGTTCAAATATGGTATAAAATATAGATTTTTCAATGTGACATAATGTAAGTTCAACTAGAATTTATTTCATGACATAATAAGTAAATAATGAAATGAATTAGAAGATTCATCAGTGAAAATTTTGGTTCCAGGCGAATGTCAGATGGACTTTTCCTAAAGTGCTGCAGAGCTGCTGCAGAGAAACACAAAGATATCAAGTTTAATGAAATGTACCTAGATACTGTATGCTTAAATGTAAGTAGAATTTTTCTTTTCTTTCTTTTCTTTTATGGCTGAAAGGTTGCTAATTCAAATTGCTTCATAGATGAATATTTACTTTCATATGTTGTCTTTTTTATGTTTATAGAAATAACTGAAATCCATTCTGTTTGTTTCTACAAAGATAGGAATAGTAACTAAGGGAAAACTGTTTCTGTTTGCTTTCTTGTTCTTAGATGGTCCAGGATCCTAGCCAATTTGATGTCTTAGTCATGCCAAACTTATACGGTGATATTCTCAGGTAATGTATAGCTGCAGGATTCAACATAGTGATTTTTTCTTATTTGTATGACACATTCATGTGCAGCTATTATTACAGTCAGTTTCTTACTTTCTTAACTTATATTTTACATTTAGCATATTCACAATTTCTCACAGACAGTGCTTTCACCACAAGTTATAGTTTGTAGTCTTTTTTAGTAAAACAAAGGGGATTATAAGATAATACCCCTTCTAAGCTCTGAGGACTTTCTGTATTTACTTGCCATAATGGACATTTCTTTTCTCTTTAGTGACTTGTGTGCTGGCTTGATAGGAGGACTAGGAGTGACACCTAGTGGCAATATTGGAGAAAATGGGGCAGCAATATTTGAGTCTGTGAGTGACCTTAATATCTAGTGCTTTACTTATACAGAACTTCTGTCCACTTTTAGTGGTGATACATGTAGCTGAAAGGAATATTAGCATTGTAATGAAGTATGAAATATATTCTGAATTTATAATTTGTACTATTAAATATATCTATGATATTCTACATGGCAAGTCCAAGGGACCATTCCCACAGATATTTGGATTGATCTATCTCCCTGGGGAGTCTCAAAAAATTGCTGTCAACTTACTTGGCTTAAATATCTGTCACGCCTAGTAAAGCAGTTAGGGGGTAATTATCTTTACCCCTAGCTGATTCTGTAGGCATGACAGACATTTAAGACGGTTAGTTGACAGCAATTTAGTGAGACTCCCCAGGGAGTTAGACCGATCCAGATGGATCGAACTAGCCATGGCAACCCAGTCCAAGACACCACAAGCCATGGTAAGGTCAGCCCCATAGCTTTATTCATATCTCAAATTGTATTCTCCAGGTTCACGGCACAGCACCAGACATAGCAGGCCAAGACAAGGCTAACCCCACAGCTTTGTTCATGTCTCATATTGTATTCTCCAGGATCATGGCACAGCACCAGATATAGCAGGCCAAGACAAGGCTAACCCCACAGCTTCATTCATATCTCGCATTGTATTCTCCAGGTTCATGGCACAGCACCAGACATAGCAGGCCAAGACAAGGCGAACCCCACAGCATTACTCCTCAGTGCTGTGATGATGCTGAGACACATGGGACTCACTGAGCATGCACGCAAGATAGAGAAGGCTTGCTTTGAGACAATTAGGGAAGGGAATGTGAGTGTTTGTTTTGCTGATTTATGAGCTAACTACAGTCATACTCTTCATATTCCATGTTTGTGCATTATCACCAGTGTTTTACCACTGCTATATATTTTCAGGTGAGAACAGCAGATCTGGGCCCTGTAACTCAAAAGCGTCACATGTTGCAACCGAGCGCAAACGTCTCCATAACTCGCCCCATATAAGACATTGTAACCTCTATGTGATATCGCTATTCGCAATATGCAATGCTTTCAAGTTACGGAGCCCTGATCTATGAGCTGGTATCTTGATAAGCAATAAGTATAGTTTTCAGATTCCATGTTTAATCCATTGTTTTACATTAACTGTTATTTATTTTCAGGTGAGAACAGCAGATCTTGGAGGATCTTCCAAATGTTCAGAGTACACACAAGAAATATGCCGGAAAGTAGAGGCCATGGACTAACAATGCTGTGCACAGATTTATAATTTGATCTATCAGTATGGGCTGTTTCCATTCCATGTATGTTGATATTTTTCACCAAAGTAGAGTTCCAGTTTTAAAATAAACACCAAATAAAGTTAACGGGAGAGATGCCACTTCAGCATTTGGTCAGTAAGGTGAAGATTATTGCTGTCAATTGTGCAGTAGCAATAAGATTTAGCAATGTGGATTGTTGATATTGTATTTATTTTATCATACACAATTTACAGTCCTTTGTCATCTTAATCTTCAAGTCTATTGTTCAGTTTTATTTTATTGTGATTATGTATTGTTAAGGATTTTGTCTTGTGTTTTGTGTTGTATGCAAAGTTCTCATCAAAAATACTGCAAGGACGAGTTTTGATCTGATTATCTCAACACATTGCTCGCCAAACTTGATATTCCACAAAACCAGAGTAATGTTTATTTATTGAAATATGTCATAATTTTGTGCCAACTGAAATGCTGTGTATTGCACAAAGAAAGTTGTCAGTAAAAGTAAAATCTCTTTCAAAGAAACTCATCACTTTACTGTAATACAGTGCAATGGTTTAAGAAAAAACACTATCTTTAATGCAGACTTAAAATTGTTTTCATTTAACCCCATTTAAAATCTGTACTGAAAAGAATTTTTCTTGGAATCATCTGCTAACAGTATACATGTATCTTGAAATCAAATTGAGCAAAATAAACTTTTAAAGAAAGATTTATTTTTTCTTTTATACAAAGCAAGTGTCACCATTTCTTCTGTATACAAAGCATATTGTTCTTGATTTGAAATTCTTTCTGATCACACTAAATAAACGTATAACAATCTACTCCTCTGTAGACTTACTTTGTATTGCTTAGATTAGTCATCAATACTGAATGTTTCGCTGAATAATTGAAAAAATAGGAGGTATTACATCTCTCTATTGCCCCCCTTTGACTGTTATAATCTATTATCTTGCAGGGCATTTATAAATACAACAATTGGCCTAATTGCAATAAAGTGACCATGGGCCTTCTACTTACTTCACTATATCTCAAATCTAATATAAATAATAAACAACTCCCAAGTTGATATGAAGAACTAACACACGTTTATAATGGGCATTATTTAAAAGCAAACTTAAAAGAACAACTAAAACATAAATCACGACCTTTTTAAATATGACACCAAGAAATCTAAATTACCATCACTGAGGTTGTTTTAAACACACTCTCCATTTGTACTTAAATGATTTGTCACCATTATTGCATAGATGAAAACTATCTTAATATACATTTATCACTTTTTAAAAGGCAACACTGACTGACACTGGTTTAAGATAATGACATCAATTGAAAGAACTTATCAACAGCATAATGATCAATGGAATTGCATGTAGTGTAATTTAATTGTTGTAATTAGTGTAAAAACAATTTTATACAATCCAATGGTATGCCTTCCCTACCAAATGTAGCTTATGACCTACATGATTTCAGGGGTTGTTGATGCAAGCAATAAATAGAACTAGAAAGGCATAGTTGGTGGGCAATATTAACTACTAGAACCCAGTATCACAGTGCTATACAAGCTTTGTATTGACATCAATTAATTGCACACTACTTTATCAAATGGCACATGACAACAATTGTGACTCAATACTGTTTTTTAATTCACACTAGTGCATCAACTTGTGAAGAAATAAGTAAAATATGTTACCTGTGGAGTTCATAGGCTCTAATATGCACTACTTGTTATGGTAATTACACAACCATCTATTACAGCACTCCCTACCTACTCTACTCTAAATGCGTTTGTGCTGAAAATATGAAATATGTCTTTGTTCTTCTGCTGCAGGCCACAGCAGCTTCCATTCTGACCTCACATTGTAGTGTGCCACTGGATCTTTAATATTTCACACATTTGGCCTCAGAAATGAGATCGCTATAATGACTGTTCTTATAAACATTTACATGTATCTTTGTACAATGTACAATATTAATGCATCTATTACATATGCAATGTATCTATCTATAATTTGAATATATCTGACTATTTAAATAGAATAAAAAAAGATAAAATTACAATGTGAATTAAATTGTGTTTAGTTAATACATGGTCAAAACATGTTGCACATTTAACATTTTTACAATCATGACTACTGATTAGGTATATAACAAATTTATGACATTATGCTGAATACAAGAAAACATTTAGACTTTCAATTTTTCTAAAATTAAACTGTGGTCATCAATTATGTAAATTTTGACATTTTTATACTGTTTTAATCAACAGCAGTTATTCACACCATAATCTGGACAACTAGTTCAGCATTATAAACAAGAACAGCTATTCTTAATCAACATATACATATTCTATAAAGATGGTGTGATATAATAATTTGCAGTCACTCTTTTGTCACCTCAAATGTAGATGCAAATGCAATACATACATCAGTTTTGATCTGATAACCTCACTTGTTTAAGTATCTTCATCAGTTTGTGACCTGATTTCCTTCCTTGTTATTTAAAACCCTTGTGGCATTAGAGTACAGTGAACCCCATGCTACATGTATCAATCTTGTATGCAAGTACATTTGTATGCTGGAATGGACAAGTGAATAACAAAGAACAAATCCCTTGTCCATTTGAGACATATCAAGTACACATAATGACAAACCCATCCTATTAGTAAAATTACTCATTAAAATATACATTTCAAGTGAAAGTCTTATTTACCCTGCAAAATCTGATGATGATATTTTATAACTAAAAACCATATCAAAATATTTCATCTTCTGAAGCAAAGTCTTCCCTAGTAAGTATGCTTCCATTGAGTGTCCCACTGGAGGCTTCAAACTGCACTGGAATGGACTGGTAGCGATATCCCCAACACCACTTGTGATTGTCTTTGGCTTGTAGCAGGGCAAATACTAAGAAAAACATGGCTATTGTGACTAGGCAACTGAACACTATGACTGCCACAAAGGCAGTGGTGGACTGCCCCTGGCTATTAGGGTCAGAGTTTTTCCCCCCATTATCCTGGTGAGCAATGGATCCCCGTCTCACAGTGTGGTCTATCATGTTATTTTTCTCCTCTTCCATCTCCTTGATAGCGTCATCCACACAAGTACCTGGAATTCACAAAATAATTTACTTAAATCTTGCCTTTCAGTCTTTCAGAGCATTTCATTATCAGTAGAAAAGAAGTATCATATAATCTGATGCATATTCTCAAAAGATCTATATGATTATGGTATATCAGAAATCAAGGCATGTAAAGTGTAAGAAATGTCCTGAAAGTATAACTGTGTTAGGTGTGATCATATGGTTGTGCCAGTGTGTTGGGTGTGACCATAAGAGTGCACCAGTGTGTTAGGTGTGACCATATGAGTGCACCAGTGTGTTGGGTGTGACCATATGAGTGCACCAGTGTGTTAGGTGTGACCATATGAGTGCGCCAGTGTGTTAGATAGGATCATATGAATGTACCATTGTGTTAGGTGTGACAGTAAACATTTAACTGCATTGCTGGGAAATGTTCATTTATAGCAATGTGCTATAAATCAAATGAGCATACCAGTGTCTGATCTACACAAACCTAATCCACCCCCGTCTCTAACTCCTCCAGTGGTATTGAGGTGTATTCTACTCTCTCTTTGCTATTACTGGTGTTGTTGACAACTTGTAGAACTCCAAACACAATAAAGAACAGAATAACAGCCCCAGCACAGGAACATATGGCCAGGATAATGAACCCTACATCAGTGGTGACCACCTCAGAGAAGTGTACATGTTTCAGTCTCCAGTCCCAGTCCTGAGTTTTATCTACTGCACTGTTAGCAGGGGGCTCCTGGGGGTGGGGGGAGGCAGGGGCAGGGGGCACAGATGTAGACTTGGGGGTGGGTTTTGCCATGTTAGTTGTAGTAGTGGTAGAAGTAACTGTTGTGGTTGGTGGAACCGAGGTAGTTTTACCAGTAGTTGTAGTAACTGTAGTGAAAGGAACAGTAGAAATGGGTGTAATTCTAGTTGTTGTGGAAGGTGTAGAAGTAACAAGTGTTGTGGAAGTTGGTGTAGAAGTAGCAAGTGTAGAGGGTGTTGATGTGACAGTGGTGGTAGTAGGGGAAGTCTTTGTAATGACTGTTGTAGTAGGCTCTGTTGTTGTAGTAGTAGTAACTGGAGTAGTAGTAGTAGTAGTAGTAGTAGTAGTAGTAGTAGTAGTAGCTGTAGTAGTAGTTGTAGGAGATGTGGCTGTAGTAGTAGTAGTAGTAGTAGCGGTAGTAGTAGTAGTGGTAGTTTTAGTAGTAGGAGTAGCTGTGGTTGTAGTAGTAGTTGTAGTGGTAGTTTTAGTAGTAGGAGTAGCTGTGGCTGTAGTAGTTGTAGTAGTAGTAGTTGTAGTGGTAGTTTTGGTAGTAGAAGGAGAAGATGATGTGGTAGGAGCAACAGTGGTAAACTGTAGTAACAGTAGTAGACCTTAGTTTGGTACTAGGAGATACAGTAGCAGATATTGTTGTTGAATTACTATTCAGGCATTTACCTACAAAAGCAACAGAAAGATGCATAAGAGGAAATAAACAAAACTACAAGAGAGAATACAACATAATACAATTACGAAAGTGGTACAGACATTAATGCAAGCATGTTACAACAAGGAAGAGCAATAGTTGGTACAGATGTCAGGCCACATTGTTTAATGTGTTGGGTGTGACATAAAATTGTGTTAGATGTGACATGCTGGGAGAGATTGGGTCAGGTTTCACAACTATCAGGTAGAGTTACAGAGAACAGTTCAGGTTCAACTGATTCTTAATAATAATAATAATAATAATAATACCTGTATTTGGATCACAGTGGCAGCAGTCATGTGTGAGTGTGTTTGTGCAGCAGAGAACACACTTGTGGCCATGGCCTCCTTGCGTCCGTGGGGCGACACATGAAAGACAGTGATACTCGCCAGGACCATCACAGCTTTGGCACGTTTTATCACATGGCAGGCATTCCTGCAATGAATACAACTTAAAGCTTAGAATATACTGCAAGAGAAAAGCCCCAAGCAGAAATGGTCGGAGGGTTAGTGCAGGTGGCCCATGCTCCAAGAGGGGCAATAGGCATAAGTAAGAATATACTGTGTAACTGTTTAAGTATGTATAAAGTTAAGTTCTAAACACTTGACCAAAGGCTTATGTAATATTTGAAAATAAGCAACAGGTATTCACGTTCAATTACTTCCATAAAAATTTTTGGTAAATCTAAATATCCTGTGTTTATTTTACCTCTATAACATTATCAAAGTATTCATTGTCATCACACTCTGGTTGCTTGTGGCACACACCCATCCTCAGGTAAGACCCAGCATTGCAGCTCTCACAGTCCTCAGGACCCTCATCTGAAATATATTTTACAGGTATTAGTTGGCCTCCCTTGCTGTGGTGCTTGGATTTAAGGTATACTTTGGAGAAGGTGTCTCAATATCTTAGACGTCTACAATCCACACCCTATGATTAACAGACTTAACAGTTGCC